TAGTTTTGAGCCTTTTGGAGAAGAATCAATTCCGAGCCAATAGGAAAAAGTGCGCATTCGGGCGACCCCAGGTTGAGTACTTGGGACACATTATTTCTCCAGATGGGGTAGCCATGGATCCGGCTAAAGTGAGCGCAGTGGTGGATTGGCCGTCTCTTAATTCTGTCCGTGAGGTTCAAGGCTGACCAGATATTAGCGAAGATTTGTGAAATAATATGGACTGATCACCCGACCACTCACGAATTTTTTGAAAAAAGAGGCAATAGCTCGGTTTCAATGGCCCCCAGAGGCCGAGGGGGCATTCCAACGACTCAAAAAGGCCTTGACAGAGGCACCCATGTTAGCTATGCCCAAGGTTGTCAAAGTCGTGTGCCTGAGCGCTTAAGCGCACCAGGCGCAGCACTAGGGATCACCAGCGCCCTAAGCATGGCAAGTCGCAGCATCCCTTGTCAGGCGCAAGAAGCGCAGAAGCGATATTAAGCGATCGCATAAGGCGCCTGACAGGGGATATTTTATTTCCGGTTTTACTGAGTTATTTTCACCTATGCAGTCAAACAAGACCATTAAGAAGCCCACGTTTTTAACAAAGCCCAATTAAATAAGGTCAAAACAACTTAATAACCTACGGTAAACACATAACGTAAACATTCTCCTGCTCTGCTCTACTGTACCTGCTTGCTACATCCTCCTTTCCCTCCACATCAACCGCAGCTTGCAGCCACATCAACCGCAGCTTGCAGCAGCCCAGCACTCACCGATCAAAGTAAGTTTTCCTCCTTCATCTTCCATTTTATTTATTTTTTCATTTTTCAGCAGCTACTTCTTTTTGTGTATGTACGTGTAAAGTGTAAAGTACATGTGCATGTGTAAACATGTATAAACAACTTAAACATGTATAAACAACCTCCAGCATGTCTAAACCAACGTTTAAAATTGCGTTCCGCCTCTACGCAATAAGGCTAGCTTTGTGATTTTTTAACATTCTAGGACATAAGGCTGAATCGCAAATACGCCATATGGAATATTGCGCCTTTTTGGAAAAGGCGTACGTTTATTGCGTACGCAATAAAATGGGTGCTGAGGCGCTATTTAAAAAACAGGGCCAGCCCAAAGTAAATTTAAAAAAAAAACTTCCGCTTCCACTAAGACGCGTAGTATATTAGTGTACAAGTTTGCCTAGAGTCTCTCCGACCTTCGTAGTTCTATTCCTACTTCCGCTATTTCTTCTCTGCGCACAGAAGAAGAAACCTTCTGCAACTTTTTCTTTGCTCTCATTCGGCAGGTATGGGTTTAATATTTTATATATTTATTGATAGATCATAGATGTTCTGGATGAGAAGGAAAAAGGTACTCCACTACGGATAATTTAATGCAGGAGTATTATTTTATTAGTTTGTTTGTAGTTAGTGTATTCATCTTTGTTATTTTAATACATAGTGGAACACGTAGTGGAATTTTTAATATTATTAGGAGTAATATTATTTTTGTTATTTTAGTATTCCACACGTAGTGGATTCATCTTTGTTATTTTAATTCATCTTTTGGACTCTACGATCTAATAGGAGTATAGGACTAGAACTTTAATAAATTAGAAAATATTTATTTTAAATGATGTTATAACATATTTTTTGGATGGGTTTATGATCTCAATTTTGGATGTTTTCATTATGACATTAGTTACCTTTTAAATACTCTTTTACTTAAGTATTAATTACATTATTTGTTCTTTTATATTAATAAATTTGTCAAAAAAGTTGAGGCTTACGCCTCATTGCACAATGAGGCTTACGCAATAGGCAATGCTAAGAAACCGCCTCAAACACGCAATACGCAATTTCGAACCTTGGTCTAAACAACTTAAACATGTATGTTTCAGCATGCATGTTTTAGTTAGTCAGTTCATTTTTTTTGTTCATGTATGTTTCAGCATGGTAAACTTCTTGTTCTTGTTCAATAAACTTATTTCAGTTCATCAGTATGTTTCAGCATGTATGTTTGAGTTAGTCAGTTCATTTTTTTTTTACTTTTTAGTATGTTTCAGCATGTTTATCAGTTAGTAATGCTTATAGGAGGACCTATAAAGCATGTATGTTTCAGTTAGGGGAGGACCTATAAAGCATGTATGTTTTACCAGTTTGAGTAATGCCTATAAATAGCTATAAAGCATGTATGCTATTTTTATGAATAGCTGAAACATAAGTTTGAGTAATGTGCCTGCCAGGGGAGGACCTATAAAGCATGTATGTAAGTATGTTTCAGTTAGTATGTTATAAAGCATGTATGCTATTTTTATCAATAACTGAAACATAAGTTTGAGTAATGCGCCTGCCAGGGGAGGACCTATAAAGCATGTATGTTATCAGATAGTATGATTCAGTTAGTAACTTAATATTTTTTTACAGTTAGTATGTTTCAGTTAATAAGTAATTTTTTTTATATATTGCATATATAATATCTGGCTTGTGTAATTTTTACAGGACATGGAAGGTGGAACTTCAGCCACGACTTCTGAAGCTGCTAAGTCAACAAAAAATGACCCGGCTTGGAAACACAATTACTGTGCTTACCCAAACCATCAAAATGGGGGGATATACAAGGCAAAACTAAAATCTAATTATGTTTTATTTTCTAGTTTTAGTGTTTAAGACTTTAAGTGAATCATGAGTCATGACTTTATTTTGGTTAATCACTTATACATGACTTTATTTTGGTCAATCGTGACTTTATTTTGGTGAAGCATGACTTTATTCGTAAGAAACATGACTTTTTAATGTATTTCCTTCAATATGGTGAACTGATACATCATCTTTGATTGTTGGAGAGTAGTATGTGTTATTTTTTCTAAGCATTGCGCCTGACACGAGTCAGGCGAGCGCTTTTTTGCGCCTTGCGCCTCCGGCGCTAGGATTACCTCGTCGCCTTGAGTGCGCCTAACGCCTTTGACTACCTTGGCTATGCCACAATTTGACAGACAGTTCGGGGAGTGTGACGCTTCTGGGACTGGGATTGGAGCAGTACTAATGCAGGAACGGAGACCTGTTGCTTATTTTAGCAAGTCATTGGCAGACAGGACCCTTTCCAGATCAGCCTATGAATGGGAGATGATGGGGTTGGCCCCAGCATTGCAGCATTGGCGGCCATATTTAATCGGAAGAAAATTCGTGGTGCGTACAGATCATCGCAGCCTCAAACACTTGCTCACCCAGCGCATAGCAACCCCTTCCCAGCAGGTTTGGGTTGCAAAATTATTGGGCTATGATTTCGAGATTGAATATAAAACAGGTGTTTCTAATACGGCGGCAGATGCGTTATCTCGGAGGGGAGACAAGATAGAGCTCAACGCGGTCAGTATGCCGGAATGGGTGGGACTGGCAGACCTTGAGGAAGAGAACACAAGAATAAAGATTTACAGGAAATTCTACAAGCACTAGCCGTCGATCCAGCTCGTGTTCCCGGATTTGAGTTGATCGGGGAACGGCTGTTTTTTAAGGGACGGTTGGTCCTTGCTGCAGACTCTATATGGATTCCTCGCCTACTGGAGGAGTTTTACGACATACCCACAGGAGGCCATGCGGGCGCATATAGGACCTATAGAAGGCTGGCAGCGAACGTGTTTTGGCCCTATTCATAAGTGCATTCTGGAAGGAATTGTTCTCTTTGTCAGGTACGCAATTAAAATTTAGCTCTGCATATCATCCGGAGACAGATGGACAGACAGAGGTGATGAACCGTGTGTTAGAAACATATATGCGTTGCTTCACCAGTGAGCATCCGCGGCAGTGGGTACGTTGGCTGCCATGGGCCGAATACTCATATAATACAGTATTTCAAATAGCAGCGAGGATTTCACCATTCGAGGTGGTTTATGGGCGGCCCCCACCCACTATTCGCCAATTTCTGCCTAGTGAAAGCACGGTGGCAGCTGTGGCGGAAGTACTTGGTAGCAGGGATGTATGTTATGATAAAGAGGTTGAAGGACAGTTTACAGAAGGCCCAGCAAAGCATGGTGACTCAAGCAAATAAACACTGGCGTGACGTGGATTTCCAGGTAGGAGAAAAAGTATTTTTGAAAGTTAGACCTCACCGGCAGACTTCCTTGTTTCGGCAGCCTTACCATAAGCTATCTGCCAAATTCTATGGGCCGTTTTTTATTGAAGCACGGATCATGCCGACAGCTTACCGCTTAGCGTTACCATCCAGCAGTCGTATCCACCCAGTTTTTCATGTATCTCAGCTGCGGAAGGTGGTAGGAGATCACCCCATAGAGAATGAGTTTCCAGAAAGTTTGGAACTTCCAGTCAGTCCAGTGTTCGAGCCGGAGGAAATATTAGCTAGTCGGAGGAAAAATGACAGGATGGAGGAGCTGCTAGTTAAATGGGCCAGACAACCGAGGGATCATGCTTCCTGGATAGATAAGACAAGTTTTGTGGGCCAGTTTCCAAGTTTCAACCTTAAGGACAAGGTTCATCCAAGGGAGGGTGAAGTTGATAGAGAGCAGGTCGCGGAGCAGGTAGCGGAGACCCAGGCTGAGGAGCGGCCGAGACCCTTGTTGGTCTATCGAAGGCGCGGACGGGAGGGACCCACTTCCGTGGGCAGAATATTTAAGTAGTTTTAATTAATTATTTAATTATTGCCTTATGTTTCCTAGTTTTAATTAATTCAGTTTCCTAGTTTATTTTAATGGGGAGTTCTACCCTAATTAGAATTAGTAGGTTATTTATAACCCTTAAGAAGGGTCTTCAAGGGGTGCGATCATTATTATTGAGAATAAAGAGTTATTTGAGCTTCAAGCTTGGGCAACGGAAACCCCGTTGATTGTTATTTTTCTGTTCTTATCAGAACTTGACTTGAAATCTCTTTTTTTCTGATACATAAGAGAATTCATTAGGTAAAACAAGAATCAAGAATGATTTGTTTAAGCAGTTGTTGGAAAGCAGAAATTGAGCAACAAAAAACAATCATGCAAAGATTTGCTAGGTGAATATAGTTATTCTGCATACCTTGATACATTCTTTGCCTGTATGCTCATCTTCAACTACGACTGCATCCATAAATCTGCCCATTGCGACAGTTACAGCAAGGTTGTATTTTGTTTGTGTCGTCTTACAGAGATCAATCATACGACCATGAACACCAGGAAAGAGACGCTTCAATGCTTCAACTGCTTGAGAGATTCTCGTATCTCTGTCGCTTTCATGTCGGTCAGCCTTCAGTTCGCGCAGCCGATTATCTACATCATCAATTTTTGACCTCAACATATCATATTTGCGCCTTCACAAGAAAAGAAAGACCACCACGTTTAACAAAAATTGAGCACATAGTGAACAAGTTACTTTCAAGGTACATGAACTATGAAAATTGAGATCAGCGACCTGGAATCTGCATGTTTATCTCTCATCTCACGCTGTTCCTTAATTGCTAAGGTTAATTCTTCCTTCTGTTTTTTCACTGCCTCTAGAATTTTTTTCAATCTACTTTGCATTTGTTTTTCCTGTGACTCCAGCTCTTGCTTTCGATTTTGTAACTGTTGAAAATTTTCCTCCAAATTCTTTAGCACCTCAGTATCACTGTTCTGTTTCCTGTCTAAGACGTCCTTTTCATCCCTCAGTTTTGCAGTTTTCATTCCAGCTTCCTCCTTGCTACAAAAAAAACGAATCCCATTGGTTTTATAAATCTCATCAAAAGGCCTAGTTTATATGACCGTATGACACACTCATAACCAAACATAAAAGTCCAATAAATATTTACATATCATAAGCAAAATGATAACTCTTCACAAGCTTCAACATTAGCATTGTTGAAAGAGAAATAGAAAAAGCACCGATGGTTGTCAGTGATGAGATTTGGCACATGCAACTACGCCTTCAAATCAATCTAACTGATTATAGGAAGGAACTTAAAAACATTAATATTCTAATTATAGTGGTTTGTTGTTAGACTACAAAATTTGAGATATGAATCATATGATACAAAGTCATTAAAATTATTTGGTTGAGAGAAGGTTAAGAAAAGAAAATATGTTTGAATCATGTCACATATCACATACCAATGAAGCGTTTACAAAGCATTTGCTTAAAAACTAGATCCTTTGAAATCTTTACGATTCTGATCCAGTCAAAATTTAACCAGATGACAGTTCTGTTTTCTGTAAAGAGAAATCACCCGCACTATAACTAAAACATAATAAGTTACCCCAAAAATAAATATTAATACTTGTATGAGTGCATGCCTAAATGGATATTATTGTAGGAATAAAAGCGTGTTAGTTTATTTATCTAGGACCAAATATATAATAGTATTATCTTAGAACAAAAATATGTTAGTCTTGCTTGGGCAAAGAGACTATATTTTAGTTGTATTCAGGGTATATAATTCTTTGTATAGACTACAATGCATCTTTAACTGAATGTAACTGAAGTTAAAAGAAGAGACCTGCAATGTTTTTCCTCATAGTGTTGTATATTTGAATTCTAGAATTTGTAAAAATAATAAATATTACTCTGCAATACTCCAACGTTTTCTCAAAAAACATATTTGATCACCGTCACATATCATGAAAACCCATCTCTCAGACTCCAAAAACGCTCTTCACATGTACAAATTGATAATAAGGCAAAATAACACAGGACTCACATTTGATGATATGTCTCCAACTGATTGTCAGCCAATTGAAGTTTCCCACCAGCATCGTGACTTTTTTTGCGCAGTTCATCAAGTTGTTCAGTGATATCAGCAAGGTCTCTCTGAAGTCTCTGAACCTCCTCAGCATGTTTCTTCTTTTCTCCTTGCCTCTTCTCCAGTTCTTTACGGGCGCTTTTAATTTTTGAAGTAATGCGAGATGCTTCTTCCTTCTTTTTCACAACTTCTGATTGCTATACAGACAAAAGAGACAAAATAATGATTTATTATTGTTGTTGTTATAAAAACTCTATATCAGAGACACTGTCATTAAGAAAACATATATCTAATTAAAAAACATGCAAAACAACACTTAGAAGTTGCATGATTAGACTGATGCATCATCCCAAAAAATCTAAAAAGCTACTTGGTGCAGAAATTAAATATAACATATGTCCTTCAAACACTCAACGGTTCCACCTTTAGCATTAATAAAATAGAGAAAATAGAAGATAATGAAATCTTACATTCTTGTCAAGTTCACTCTTATTGCCAGCAATCCTTCTTTCATGCAATGCAACTTCTTTCAAGTATCCACTTAGTTGTTTCTTCTTTTGACTTGCTTCCTTTTCATACCTTTCCAGTTGATCAACAATTTCCCTTCGTCTTATTTCTTCATCTTCAAGGTCCTTGGTGGCTTTTGTGATATCATTCTCTATATTGAACAATTTCCATAAGAAGTGCTCTTGCTTCAAAGCTTTCTACACACAGATAAAGAAACTCACTGATAGAAAGCAAGGGAAAAATAAAACGGGAATATTAAGGCAGAGGGTGTCATCATGTTCTGCAAGTTTGAAATTTCTGCATTTTCGCAAAATGACCGGTAACTAGTTAATTGTGGGGAGGATAACAAATTGACTAGCTTTCACTTCCAGATTCCAACTGATATAAATAAATAAACAAAAAAGGCTGCAAAAACAGAACAAAATAATACTCCCTTAGTACCACTATCTTTGTCTTATCTTTCCTTTTCGTCTGCACGACTAGATTTGTCTCATCTAGTATTTGGTAATTTTTGTGTGGTTCAAATTCATTCATAATTTACAGATTCAATATCAACCAAGTTTGTCTCATCTTCTGTCAAAAAAAAAACTAAATTTGTCTCATACACATTTGGTAATATTTGGGTGGTTTAAACTCTTTCAAACCTTACAAAATACAGATTCAATATCAGCCCACTAAGTATGTCATGTTGCCCCATACCATATAAGGTAATATTTTGTGTATCAAACTCATTCAGGCTACAAATTCAATATCAACCACATATTCTAATTTCCTTGGTGTGCGTTCCCTTTATCATGCCCCTAAGATAGTGGGACGGAGATAGTAAACAAGATACATTGACGAAAGAAAACATACTTCAACTGTTGAAGAAGCACCATTTACAACTATTGAATAATAGCCTAAAACAAAAAATGAATTTTATATGTACAAAGGCTTCAAAACCAAATTCTTGAACAAAATTTGACAGGCGAACTAATTAAACAATATGGAAATGCTGAAACACCGAATAGGAGAGTCTCAAAGAATCATCCCCACTATACATGGAGCAATGAGCAACATATTAAAACTGGAGAAAATGATGGTACTCCATCTAGTTTCCGATGAAATGGAAGAACTTCTTGGGAATACTGCAAGATCCTTCTGTTCCTTTTCACTATTTAGCAAAACTTTATCTTAGGGTGTCACAGTATGGGTTTAGTTTATTTATCTCATTATCTGTGGTCCACTAGAGACCAAAAATTAAAAATAATCACTTCAATCATTATAAATTAGCATACATTATCATCGTGCAATATAATACTCCCTCCGTCCCACTAACAATGGGACAAGAGGCAGTGTCGCGCAAACCAATAAAAAGTGGTTTATGTGGTTGATATTGAATTGATAAAGTAAGAATAAAGAATTATTTAGAGCCACACAAACTTTGCCAAATTTGGTATGAGACAATCTTAGTGGGACAGACCGAAATGGGAAAATGGGACAATCTTAGTGGGACAGATGGAGTATCTCCTATTGACTTTCTCACTTGATGGACAATGATGGTGGATCGGTGGAAATGAAAACATATGCATTCCAATTTTCCCACTAAATACCAGATAAAATGATTTATTTCACTTCTGAACCCCAAACAACGCATTTAGGGGATCAGAATACAAACATCCATTTCAAAGCTTTTAAGTTAATCGCATTCATGGTAGCTTCATCACTATTAAGTACAAAGTACTAAATAAAAGGACTAATCCGGAAGACCATCTGTTTCACAAGAAAGGATCAATTATGTTAAAAGAAAATAAAAATATAAACGTCTTCATAAAATAACCTCACAATTGTAACCCTCCAATGGCATATAAGATAGCAACAACGAATACATTTTCACCAGTAGAGACTTCGCACTCAACCACAGCAGCTACATGCGCTAATGTTAGAGACCGGAATTTATGGGCTGAGGGAGTGAGATATAAGAGAGTATTTTAATAAAATGTAATAATGGGCTGGCCCATTAGAAATATTATAAAAGGGGATAGAAGGGTAGAAGTAAGGGAGGTTGGAATTATGGGGCTTGGGACTTGGGACTGGGAGTCGGAACTACTTTCTGTTGTACGAACTGAACTACCGCCATTGTTACATTTTGGATTTTCTTCATTATTAGCTCTCAAATTACAGTAACCTAACATTGGTATCAGAGCGATCGCTCCTGGAGCCTGAATCGATCATCAGAGCACGATTGTACCTGTATATGGCTGCAACCAGAAGAACGATGGAAGGAAGATTGGAGAATTTGGAGCGCGAGTTGGCTAGGCGATCCGCAAACATGGTGCGCGAGTTTGAGAGGCTTCGCGAAGAGGCCAGAATCAGAAATGAGGAGGCCAAGCGCAATCGCGATGAGTTACGCGAACTAATTCGGAACTGGAACGAGAGTCCGTCGCGCGGAGGATCGAGAACAATAAGGCGCTGTAGGAATTCGAAAAGCAAGGGAACCTCGCAAACAGCTTTTCAACGCTCGCAGACTTCGTCGAGTTCACAGAGTTCATCGCGGCTTGATTCGCTGAGTTCGCGAGTTTCATCTCAAGCGCGAACCGTTTCTTCCAGTTCGCCGTCTCTACTCGGATCCCACCAATCGTCATCGCAAGATGCTTCTACCAGTCCGAGGATGGTGTCGCAATCGGAAGTCACCAGTTCACAACCACTTGCCTCTTCTTACACAGCTTCTCAAAGTGCTCAAATTTCTCCAGAATCGAAAACTGAGTTGAAACTTGCTGTCCAACCACTTTCAGAACAGAGTGAAGTTGACATTCTTCCTCATCAGGAAAGTAATCATCCAGAGCACACGGACGCGACCTTGGGAAGGATCAACAAGGACAAGGGAGAGGATACAGAAGGTTGGTCTCACAAAATTCATGAACAGGGATTGGGCGTTATGATGGATTTTGTGTACCGTCAATCATCACACATTACTTTGAAATGGCTGCACAGGTTTGTTAGCTTCAGAATTGATGACTTCACTTCCATGATGTATACTCAAAATGGGCTGGGGGGAGGATTTAAGGGGAACTTTAAAGAGTATGGTGGATATGTTACTGAAATTGAGACTGCTTTGAATCTGTTGTTTGTCAATGATCTCAATTATGGTCTTTTCAAAGATGCCATTATAGTTGGTGAAGATGTTAGGGGGCTGCCAGCTGTTTGTATATCTGTTCAAGAGGGAACTGTAGGTGTTAACTACTCATCCCGTATTGCTATTACTGGTAAATGGATCATAATACTCCGGAAAAGAGTTAAGGATGGGGAAAAGGGTGTCAGTGTTCACACAATGTGGATGGAGAAATATGTTTCTGAGGCTGACAGTCAGGACCAAGCTATTGTGGCTGAAAGTGTTGTACTATTTTGGGGTGCTTTAGCAAGGCAATTGGGGAAGAATGACTTACAGAGGAGTGCAATTGAAGGATCAGTCTTCATTCACTCAAATGTCAAATCTGGGATGGCATTTAAGGGTTTCAGTTCGATACTATCTGCAATAGGGGACTCCTCTAATGCTGAACTGAGATGGATTGATGAGTTTGTTCTTAACAGCATAGTTGAAGGAAAAGTTCAAAAAGTAAAGGAATTCGATGAGGTCTTCGCTTTTAAGAATCTGGAAATCCTTCTTCTCAAACTTATTCTGGTTCGTCAAACTACTCCACTCATTAGTGATACAAACTATTTGCGCCTTGAGCTTCCTTTTTGGAAAAATAAACTAGAGAGCTTTGCAAAAAGCATGCTACTGGATGTTGGATGGAATCAGAAGACTACTCTCACAACACAGGCAGGGCTAAGTGGAGAACTAAAACCAAGGTGTGTCACTTTAGATTTGAAAGGGGAGGTTCCAGTTCTGCATGAGAAGTACAGTGACAAGAATGACTATATATGGTTTGATACAACAATGGGGTGTGGGTCAATCATTTCATGTTACAAAGATGAATGGGAAAAAGGGAGGAAGAATCCTAGGAATGTGGATCTCTTCCAATGTATGGGCAAGAACAAGGAGCCTTTTCATACAATAATAGTCCCAGCTGGCCTACTGGGAATGGAGGAAAACTTGAATGCTATGAAAACTATCAACCCAGAATACTTGTACTATGAAGCAGGAAATGATTCAAAAAGAAAAGGTGTTGGAGCCATTGGAAATGAGGTAAAATCAAATAGTGGATCACCAAGTGATTTCAGAAACTTCATCAATTGTACCCTGAGTTTTATGGCCAAGGATTCAGTTAATGGATATGGTTTCCTCATTCTTGATACTGAAGGTAAATGGAATGTCCAAGCCATGAGGTATTCTGAAGATTCTGGTGCAGAAAACCTCTATGAAATACCTAGAATTGTAGGTATCTACTTCCAGGAGGAGTGGCAGCCAGTTGTTTCTGCTATTATTGAGGAATTGCCCGATGAGAATGGTTCTATAAGGGTTGAAGCACTGGGAGTTGGCCAGGTTTTAATGAAGTATCATGTAACAATGCACTTGCCTCAGCTGCTTGCTATGGAAAAAGTAATGGAAATGGTTCAGTTCATGAAGTTCAGGGTCCTGAAATTTGGAAGATACTGGGAAGGACGAGGCGCAAAGATGAGGAAGAAGCTGTTCATTAGAACTGTCTCCTATGACCCACCTTGAGGACAAGGTGTTTGTCAAAGGGGGGAGTGATGATAGAGACCTAAGAATATTATTAAGTCTTTTAATATTTTGTAATAAAAAGGGTTTAGGGCTTTAGGCCTTATAACTAAGTAGAGGTGGGCTGGCCCATTAGAGAATGAATAAATAAGGTGAGTGGGGAATAGAAAGGGGGGTTTTTTGGGAATTTTCGGGCTTGGGACTGGGACTTGGGAACCTGTATTGTTCTCTCTCGTTTCTGTATACGACACTTTCAGTTCATACGCCATATATCTTCTTCATCTTGTTTAGTGAATTCATTCTGAAATTGCTAGTTCCTAACATTGGAAAATCTGGAAAGTGAGCTGGAACGAAGTCACCTGGAGATGATGCGAGAGTTGGAGAAGACTCGCATCGAGGGGATGCGCGATCATGAAAACTTGCGCGAAGAGGCCCGGCGCATTCGCTATGAAGTGTGGAAGGCTAGCGATGAAGTGCGGAAGACTCGCGATGGAATGCGGAAGACTCGCGATGGAAGGCGGAAAACTTGCGAAGAGATGCTGAAGACTCGCGATGAAGCCGGAGGTAAGTCTCGAGCTTCTTCTTACAGTTCGCATTCCACTTCGCACCTTAGGAACGCCAGAAATCACGTCAGTCCAGAGGAATCACAAAAATTACCTATATTCAAAGGGGATGACCCGCACAGATGGATAATTAGGATGGAACGCTACTTCAGGCTCAACAGAACTGCTGAAAAATATAAGGTTAGAATCGCAGAAGAAGCAATGGAGGAAATGGCGTACAATTGGTTTCAATTGTGGGAAATTGGAACGAGAGAAAAGAATTGGGAAGTTCTAAAGGAAGCAACAATTCGGAGTTTCCAACCTACAGGCAGGCGGAAGACAGAAAACCGGGAATCATCACGATCGAAAAGAGCTTTCCTAAGTTCGTCATCTATAGCCGATCCTCACAGTTCCTCTTCGCTAGCTGTTTCGACCAATTCACAGAATGCATCGCAGGTTTCTGAGTCGGCTCAATTTTCCTCCTTGGGGATTTCATCGACAACAAATATTGAGTCGGCTGAACACTCAATTTTGGTATCAAATCCTGACAAGGATACTAATCAACAGACAGGATACTCAGCAGATAGTCTGGAAGAATCCGAACAGCTCAAACCTGATATTCCTTACAATCAGGAAGGAAATTGTACCTACCACCATGATCCTGCTTTGGGAATGAACAACAGTATCACAGGGGCTGATGAGGAGAGCATGTCTCACCTACGAATCCATACTTATGATGTTCCAAGTGTCCACCGTCAGATACCAAAGGGGATTTCAAAAGGGTTGACTGAGTTTGATGGCTTTAGATTTGATGGAGATACTTCTAGTAAGAACACTCAAAATGTATTGGGGGAAAGAATGACTGGAAATTGGAAGAAAATGGTTGGATCTACTACTGATGGTTACGCTGGCATGTTCCTGATGTTTGACATGGTGTATATGGCCAATACATCGGCCTTGCCTATCTTAGATCCAAATGTTTCATCTGATGGGACTAACCTTGCATTTGGGAAACACAGTGAGCTTAAGGATGAAAGTAGGACTGATTCAGAAGCACAAGAGAATCATGCTCACCCCTGTTCTGGGAAATCAGATGCAAAGATTCCACTTGGGGTAGAGTTTTCACATGGAAGTTTTGTAGATCGTATAGAGGTGTTGTGCAGAGGAAAGTTTGCTATTCAAGATAGATTGGAAGGAATCCTCAGCTCATACACTGATGCTATTGATGAACATAACTGGGAGTCCTTCCCTGTACCTGTGATTCGAAGAGTTCAACCAGAGCGGGTTGGCTGGGAAATGTTCTCACAATTCACTTCTAAGAACTCTCGTACTGAACCTCATGTTGCATTCACTATTTTGGCTGCTCTTTGTGGAGAATCTGCAATCATCCTTAGAAACAACACATTGATTTGTGATGCTGACAGGTATTTACGAACTACACTTGAACATTACCATCAGTTATCTACCAAGTTGGGCTTAGGATCATGTCATTATATGTACGTTGGTTCCAATAGAGGAGCTATGGGTATTGATGGCTTCCGGTTAGATAGTGTTACTTCTATGATGTGCACTCATCATGTTGGATATGTTACTGAGTTTAAAGCTGAATTGAATCTGAGGCGGATTAAAGATCTCTTTCCTGGTCTTTTCCCAGATGTCATAATCGTGGGTGAAGATGTTAAGGGACTGCCAGCAGTTTGTATATATGTTCAAAAGGAAGCTGTATGTTTTGACTACCTGTTTCATATGGTTAATGCTGGTGAAATTGCAGTTGCCTTTTTGTGTGGTGGAGTTCATATTTTGTCAGATTCAAGTTTCACCCCTATGGAATACTACCATATTAATGTGGGGACTGAAAATGTTGCTTCCGTTTTCTGTACAACAAGTTGTTTTATCTCTGTTTGGCATGACACTAGCAAAGATTATTCCCTCTGGAAGCTAGTCCACGGTTTCCCACTCGCTTTTCCAAGAAAGCAAGTGAGAGTTAACTCTACGCCTTGGGAAGGTGAAGTTGCAGAGAGGTTTTCGTCGAGTCTTTCAATGAAAGTTGATTGGAGGGATGCTGTTGGGTGGACCCAAAATGCGGCTGAAGATGACATTCTTTCACTGGACAGCGTCATTGCGGTTATGGATGCAGAATCTGGGAGTAGCTTGGAGACAACTCTAGTAGATGCCACTAAACCAAACCAACCAGCAGTGGAAAAATGGGCTAAGCAGAACCATAGAGCTGGAGTAATTGATGCACTATGTGGAAGATCAGAGGTGAATCAAGTGACGAGGAAGATTCAAGTATGGAAGCTCCTTGTCCAGCAAGCAGTGAGGTACTGGGAAGGAAGGGGCACGAGGATGAAGCTGGATGGCAGGGCTGCTCTTACTCCCCACCTTGAGGACAAGGTGGTTGTCAAAGGGGGGAGTGATGTTAGAGACCGGAATTTATGGGCTGAGGGAGTGAGATATAAGAGAGTATTTTAATAAAATGTAATAATGGGCTGGCCCATTAGAAATATTATAAAAGGGGATAGAAGGGTAGAAGTAAGGGAGGTTGGAATTATGGGGCTTGGGACTTGGGACTGGGAGTCGGAACTACTTTCTGTTGTACGAACTGAACTACCGCCATTGTTACATTTTGGATTTTCTTCATTATTAGCTCTCAAATTACAGTAACCTAACAGCTAAAAGTGTCGATTTTTAATTATTTGACCCCGCCAACCCGCTTAATAAACAGTTTTTCCCCCCAAGATAAGGAATAACAGTTTACAGTTTACACCAACAAATTCTTCAAATACAATGACCACAACTAAGATCCAAGTCAATTTCTGATATTTTTGAAGTCCATAGGTGAGATACACGTGATACACATCAGGATTGCAGGATCATCATCAAGAATTAGGGGCATCATACTTGCGAATCATCATCAAGAATTAAGGGCATCATACTTGTGAACCATCAATGAACTGCTCAGAATGAAATATGTGCTTCCGACTCATCCATAGGTCAAATCAGATATCTCATCCTTGGAATATTTATTAGACACTCAAACAATGGATATGCAAGGATGATATTATATGATATTCTAAATATCCACTAGTCTTTGAGCTTTTGCCTCCATAGCATTATTTATTCTTACTTCTATGCATCAACTAGTTTTAAGATTATGCAGGACTACATACAATAAAACTCTCTTTATAAACACTAATAACTGTTAATAAACAAACAAAATAAGTAGCATTGAAGCACAAATACTCAAATATATTGCTTTTACTTCTGATAAAAGATCAATATGTGACCACTAGAAGGGTGTTTGTAGAATTCTAAAGCCATACCAGCTCCTTTTGTAAGCGGAGATGTCTTTCTGCCTCTTCTTTCTGTTCCTTCTTCTGTTTTCGCTCAATAGTTATTGTTTTCTTCTTCTGGTATGCAAGTGTCTTTTCTTCTTCTGCTCTAGCCTTTTTCTCTTCTAGTTCCTCGTAACTTTTTTTGAAATCCTCCGACCCAGATATTTGCTCAAGCAACAGAGTAAGCTCTCTTGGACTTTTAGATGCAATTGACTCCACATCACCCTGTGTAGCGTGATTATTAATTAAATACACAAGTACACGCTACACAATAATCTTATTTGCTACATTTAACCAAAAACAATGAAATCATGCCTTTGGTATGACTAGGGAGTAGGGACTTGTCTGAGCATGACCAGCCCAGTCAAAGGCACTCTTCTTTTTTGTTGTCAGTCATAGAAAAAAAAACTATAGATCACTAAATGTCTGCATCAAGAATTTTTTATTTTAAACATTTATAAATTTATTTACTCTTGGTTTACAAATTTGTTTTATAACAAACCCCATTTTACTCAGCACGGCAGTTACTTCACAACCTTCCATAGTTCAGTACGTGGATCATATTCCTACAGCTTAAAATTCCTCTCCGGATAAGTCTCAGGAGCTAGTGCCACAATCTATACGCACACTTGCAAAAAGCTACTCTTCCAACTTCATGACCACATGGAAAGAGCACTAAGCTCTCTTTCAATATAGAAACTCATACGCATAATTTTAAGTAACTTCTACGTGAAAGAAAACGATAATTACAGGGTGAGCACTACACAATTTCAAAAGAAAGATACTACCACAGTACCATGATTACTTATGTGAAAAACAACCTGAAACACAAGAAAGTTTCGTGCTTTGACAAGTATATTAAGGGACTTCAATTTGGCGTTGTACTCGTCCCAGTTTGCCACCTTGCCATCAATCCTGTACTCACTGCCACCAGCACTAGTAATAGTGCGTGTAAACTGAATTTCAGTACCATTAGCCAGCTGATAGATCAACCTGACAAAAGCTTTTCGGCCCCTCTGTTCCTTATCCCGGTCATCAAAAGCATATATAAGATCCTTCAACTGCGCGCCACGGAGCTGGCCAGTGCGTACCCCAAGAACAAAGCTGATGGCGTCCATGAGGTTAGACTTGCCAGCTCCATTGGGCCCAATGATAGCTGTGAAGTCGTAGAACGGCCCAATTGATTGGAATCCACTGTATGATTTAAAGTTCTCAAGCTCTAACCGGAGGATTTTACCAGGGGGCGGCTGAGACGACATCTTACGGGAGCGGAATCAAACGATTAAAACCCTAGGTCGTCGGAAGCAATGAACTTAGAAAGTGAAGTCTGAGAGTAGAAATTCGATGTGTAGGATTAGAAACTAGGGGTTGGAGCCTTGGAGGAGTGGAAGGGTTTTGGCGGGTAGGGAAAGACTACCATTTTCGTATATCTCAGAAAGACGGGCGAGAGGGACATCCGCAGAGTTAAAATTGTTAGTTCGCAGAGTTAAAATTGTTAGTTTTGCGGGATAGCAGTTATAGGATGATAGGATCCAGGGCCTGTGCCTAGGGCTGGGTCCGAAAAACCGAAAACCGAAAACCGAATCAAATCATACCGAACCGTAACCAAATAAAACCGAACCGCTAACAAACCGAAACCGAATGTAAAAAACCGAACCGAACCGTAGTTGTTTGGTTCGGTTTTGGTTTTTACCCTTCAAAACCGAACCGAACCGAACAAACCGAACTAATTAAAATATAAAATTTATTTGTCAATTGTTAAGCATTAATCCTAACTAATCCTAATATGATTACTAGTCTTTGGGTTTCTTGTGCTAGAGAAATAATGTTTGTGTTATGTTTAGTTTAGTTTATGAATTCATTTACACATTCATTGCCCGTAATAATATGGTTATACTGATAATATGTTTTTACTAGTTATTAGTATTAATTAACTTTTATTTTTATTTAACTTAAAGAATTCATATATATTGATGAAACAATAAATATTCATCTCAACTATATCACATAGAAAGTATTGATGAAACAATAAAAATTCATCTCAACTATATCACATAGAACTTTTTTTTGAACTAGTCACAAACAATGTAAATTAATAATATATATATATATATACTTTTATCTCTCTCGCATACTCATATAATTCATGACATATTAATTTATTTTCATTTTTATTTTATTTGTTGTAGTGTGCTTGCATTCTTTATGTAATATATGTTTGATCTCTCAAAGTATTATATATATCAATTTTAAATCAAATGATATTGTTTTTGGTAAAAAACCGAAAAAACCGAAACCGAATCGAAACAAACCGAACCAATTAAACCGTGGTTCCAAGTTGTGAAGTGTAAAACCGAACCGAAACCGAACCGAACTTTTTACTTTGATTCTATATTTGGTTTTAGGTCAAAACCGAACCGCAAGAACCGAACCCACCCCTACCTGTGCCGAACTACCTGTACCTCACTGGTGTGATTTACAAAAGTTTAACACATTAAATTATTTGTTCCATTTTAGAGCCCATTTGGTAGCATGAAAATCGGCTGTTTTGGCTGCTTCCGCTGAAATTTATAAAGTTCTGGCTAAAGTGTCTGTATTGGTTTATTCTGCTGATTTAAGAACAAATTATTTTAAATATATATTTTATTAATAAAATAAAGAAAAAATTATATGTAAAAATAGCTAAAATGGTCATCTACAGTAATTTCAGCCAATACAGCCAGAAAAGTAACTTCAACCTTACTTTTTCTGCTTATTACACAATTCAGCGCGCAGAAGCAAAAATTACGTGTTTGGTGAAAAAGCTGGCTGATAAGCCTGATAAGCCGAAAAATAGTAGTTCCAAACAGCCTCTTAATGAAGTGCTTTTGTGAATCACATACATAGGGGTGAGGTGCAAATGAGGTACCAAATGGGGTACCTTTGGCATTTTATATGTTTATTTGACATTTTGTTTGTCTAAGACATGTACTTCGACCTATCTGGGCGGATCAGTTAAAAAACAAGAGTTAAAGATGTGTAAAACTAAATTTCTAAAAGCAAGTTAAATTCTGAAGCGTGAGTCTTACTTTTTTCTCAAAAGAGTAATTAGTCATTTTCAATCTAGATGACGTTCATGTTTTTGTCTCGATGCAGACGGTGTGATAATCTTGTGAAAAAAAATTCATAGGAGTGTTAATAGGAGTTTTTGGTCATGGTTTTTGAAGAGTGGTTTAAAGGATGCCAACACAACTTGGATGATGAAGGTTGTTGTGTTTTTATGGTATTATTATAATTATGGAGTATCTGGAAGCGACATATTGATTGTGTCAAACTTCTAAGCACCTCCAGTGATAGTGTAGTTTGCAACTGTTTATTTAAAGGGATAGAGGGGCGCCAATGTGTAGCAGAGACTTTTATAGGGTTGGGTGAAGATTAATGTGGACAACGTGGTAATACAGTCAGAGGAGCAAGCGGATCCGGATATTTTATTGGTCTGAGTCAAAATAAAAAGGCCTTTAAATAGCAATTACTTAAACTTCAACTATTAACGTTTCAAAAAGATAATGGAATTTCTAGAATTCTAAAATGTGATATAGCGCATTGCGTACAAGATATTTTTAAACCACACGAAGAATGGAAAATATGTTGTTTTAGATTGTACACTTATACTTACCTCAATTTATATTCGGGGGATGGAAAGAATGGTATTAAAAGATCTGAAATGAATTGTACTCCTTAACGTCTTCTGAACTTCTAGTCTTCAAAGCTTGAAGTTGGGAAGTCGCAGACGCGGGTTGATAATCAAGAGACCCCAAGTCAGCTGAGGCATACTTATACACTATATGTATACACAGCATAAAGGTTGCTAATATATTTGTGGGCCCTGATTTTTTCCCTATATTGTGAGTCCTAAGGCAGCCGCCTCTTGGCCTCATCTATAGGTTCAACCATGTGGAGGAGTACAAGCATGGGGCTGAGTTGTTCGGAATGTTAAGGGAGAATTCCTAGATGGGCAAAGTGATTCAAAGGCGGCGATGCGAACACCTGGAGAAACCGAAGCAGTTGGAATTTCGGAGATAATTTGAGAAGTGGCTCAAAGAGAATGGAAAATTTTAAGATGGTAATGGAAACAATACTCTCCTAATAGTTCAAGGAATTTCCAAATGAAGGGGGGCTATCTAGTTTTATTACTATATGATATTAGAGGCTCACTTCAACTTTGTAAGTGATATGCGAATCTTATATACTCTTTTTCACCACGAGTTTTAGGGCATGTCCTAAAACATGTCCTACACTCTTTTTAGGGCAAGCTCAATCATCTCATGTCTTAGATTCCACCACGAGTTTATTCCTAATTGTATTGTAAATCATATTGCTAATAACTCATTGAATTAATGCAAGTATTTTTTTTATTAAACAGAAGTGTTAATTTGAGAATATTAATGTCATAGGTGTATGTATTTCCCATCGTGATACCAATCGTGTTTATTCATATTTAGGGAATAAAATAGAGTATTTTTAATGTCATAATTGTCTGCATTTCCAATCGTAATACTAATTATTCTATGGACTTTCATATTATTTTTATTTAGAGTAATTTCTTATACTCCCTCCATCTTTATGGACTTTGCCAACTTTTTTTTATTTGTCGCAAAGAAAATACCAATTTCCATTCAAACAAATAATTTATACAATATTTTTTATGTATTTCTCTCAGCTCAGCACAAAATTTAATCATGTAATTTTTATTTTTCTTGATTCACACTTAACTCAAACTTCGCAATGATTAATGTGACCATAATGTAATATACAAAAGCAATGAATCAAAAAGCAGATTGTCCTCAACAAATCATGGGTAAGAAGTGCATACTTATTTTTATTATTATTAAGCATATGAAACTAATATGCTACAATATTAATTTTCAACAAGTGTTTGGTAAGAATCACCTTAGTGCTCCAGCAACAAGGAACAAAGGTTTATTCAAAGGCAACTAGAAACAAATTGAAGATAACGAACTTATTTCTTTTGATTTGAATAACATGAAGTTCTACATTATTGATGGAAAAATTCAATTGGATTGAACTATTGAAGTATCCGTTTCAACTAAATCATCTGGTAACATGTTACATGTTTTGAAATACTGTGGTGAGTTATAAAATGAGTGAAAACATTCAATGACGACACACCATGGGAGTGCAGACTAGACAAAGAAAGTGTAAGTTTCAAACTGTTAATATAATTATGGTACATCATAATTATGTGAAAACTTGGACTGGAATTTTTTTATCTGATATGGTCCGGTAAATTTATGATTTCTGTGTGATAGAGTATATGGGCCCGGACCCCATGGCCCACATACTCAACGGCCCAAAAGACACCGGCGGGCACCCGCATCGGCCAAAGGCACGTAACGTCCAAGGAAGGAGATATCGCCTGATTTATTTGGATCGCATCGTCCCTGGACCGCATCGTCCATGAACCGCATCGTCCATGGACCGCATCGTCCATGGACCGCATCGTCCACGGACCGCGTCGTCCGGACTTCGTCCAGGCAGAATGTATTTTCCTATTTTATGTACTAAGTGTTGTACTCAGCCCATTAGTGGCCTTATTCGCCCAAAGAAGGCATAATTATTGTAAATGGGCCTCCTAAGCCCAAGGCTAGGGGCCCAAATCCACATTTTTACCTATAAATAGACCCAAGGGGCTAATTATAGGGGGTCCAAGTTGAGAAATATAATTACTCACTTTCTCTCTCTAGCTCTCACTTCTCTCTAGAATTAATACCCTATCATTTGGTGCTCTCGTTGAGAGCCTAGAACAGATCAAGTGAGTACCCCTCGTCGCTACTAGACGCAACAGAATGACAAGAACTAGGTCAAAGAACACCGGAAGGAATGCCCCTCTGAACCAGGAAGGGCAGGGAAACGTTGCTGACAACGTCCCCAATGATCTCATCATTCAGGATGAGAACGCTCAGGAGGTCGAGCTCGCAGCGGCCGACCTTCGCACCCAGCTCAACAAGACTGCCCCAGACGCCCGCATCGGGCTCGAGGACAAGCGCAATGCTGATCGCGCTTCGGGCCAACAGGCTTCTCACCCTGCTGCCCCCCAGATCAACCCGGCCGCACTGTCGGCCATCGTCGCAAGTATCCTCCAAGACCCCAACGTGGTCAGCGCTCTCGTCGCAAAGACAGGGGAAAACAACACTCCTGTGACTGGGGAGGTCGCAACGGTGCCAACACCGCCACCTCGTCCACAGGGCGTCACCTTCTTCGGCAACAACGAAGACGTCCTCGCCGTGGACACCCATTCCCATACTACCTCGCCTACCCGGGATACACCGGCCCAACCTCGCGGTAAAATCTCAGCATTCAACAGGTTGGGTGACATCGCGAGTCGTCGGGTACCTACGGGAAGGGTGGCGGATCGGTTGGGTGGCCGCGAGCCGGGATCACCGAAGGAAAGCTTCGGGTCCGTGTCCCGGACAACGGACCGGCCCCGACCAGATAAGGGAAAAGGA